CAGTGGCCTGGGTTTGAATCCCAGCTCTCCCTCTTACTGACTGTGACCTTGAGCACGTTACTTTGTCTCTCTGTATCTTGGTTTCCCCATCAGAGAAATGGTGATGCTGATGGTCCCTAGCTCATAGAATTTTTTTTTTTTAATTTGTGGTAAAAATATACATAACATTTGCCAGTTCAACAATTTTTACATGTATAATTCAGTGACATTGATTACATTCCTCATATTATATAATCCTTTCACTATGCTTTTCCAAATTATTCTGCTGCATTAACATAAATTCAGTGACCCCCTAAACCATAACTCCCCTTTTCCCCCTTCCTCTACCCTGGTGACCACTAATAAGTTTTGGTTTGTATACATTTGCTTATTTCATATAAGTGAGATCATAAAGTATTTTTCCTTTTGTGACGGACTTATTTCACTCAGCATAATGTTTTTCCAGGTTCATCCATGTTGTGGCATGCATCAGGACTTCATTTCTCTTTATGGCTGACTAATACTCCATCATATGTATATTGTACGTACATTTTCTTTATCCATTCATCTGTGGATGGACATTTTGGGTGTTTCCACCTTTTGGCTATGGTGTGACTCTTGCTGCAGTGAACATTGATGTACAGTTTTTTTTTTTGTTTGTTTGTTTTTTGCTGACTTCCCCAGTATTGTGTACTGTCTTACTTTTTACCAAAGTTACAGTGTACAGTTTTCTGTTTGCATTCCTGCTTTCAATTCTTTTTGAGTATACATACCTAGGATTGGGATTGCTGGGTCATACGCTAGTTCTATGTTCAACTTTTTGAGGAACCTCTGACTCATAGGGTATTGAGATCATTCGTTGAGTTAAAACTCCAAGAGATGTTCTAAGAGCAGAAAAAGATGATGCACATAGTAGGTATTCTTATCACTATTTAGTCCTTACTTCACCGATGAGGAAACTGAAGCCCAGGAGGCCAGAATAACATTCTGTCGTCTCCTCTGGTACTCACTGTACTCTCTGTGGGTTGTATTCCAGGGCTGGGGAACCTGAGGCTCAGACAGATGAAATGAGGTCGTAAAGCATTGCTTTCTGAGGCACTGGGCTGTGCTCTTTCCCCCACATCGTGTGATTTATTTCATTGGCCCCAGTTCACACAGAGGAAAGCTGAGGTCCAGAAAGCTTGAGTGGGATTCGACCCTGCAATCCTCCGACCTACTCGCCGCGGCGCCTTGACCTTTGCCCGCGACGGGGAGGGGCTCCTGGCGCTGCCACCACCCACCTGGCAGCAGGCTTACCCTGCCCCCCTCACCCAGTCTAAGGCCCTGCAGCTCCAGGCCCCGCCCCCTCCCCAGCCGCAGGTGCTGGGTGACATCAGAGCCGGGGCCCCGCCCCGCGCTGGACCGCGGAGGTAGCCGCACCTGAGCCCGCTGAAGCGGCTCCGGGGGATTCCAGTGTGCCCTCCCTATCTTCCTGATCCCGGCACCAGCTGGCGCCCCCAAGGTATCCCCGAGGATCCGCGAGATGAGCGGGCGGTGACACGGACGCTCGGGTCGCGGGGAGATGGGGGTTGGGCGCCCGGACTCCTAGATCCGGGAGGGAGGGGGATTGGGGCCAGGAATCCCGGGCCTGAGTAAGGAGGGGCTGAGGGCCCAGACTCCTGAGTCTGGGGGAGGAGGGGCCGGGGCCCTGGACTTCTGGGCCTTGAGGGAGGAGGGGGCCGGGGACCTGGACTCTCGGATCCGAGCGAGGAGGGGGCTGGGGGGCCAGGACTCCTGGAACTGAGAAAGGAGGGGGCTGGGGACCCGGACTTCTGAGTCTAGGGGAGGAGGGGCCGGGCGCCTGGACTCCTGGGCGAGGAGGGGGCTGGGAGCCCGGCCTCCCGGATCCGAGTCAGGAGAGGGCCAACACCTGGATTTCGGGTCTGAGGGAGGAGGGCGCTGGGGGCCCAGACTCCTGAGCCTGAGAGAGGAGAGGGCTGGGCAACAGGTCTCCTGGGTTTGAAGGAGGAGGGGCTGGGGGCCAGGACTCCTGAATACTAGCACTTAAGCTGAGGTCAGAGAACTGAGTGCCAAGGGCCCCAACTCCTGCCCCAGGGGCGGATCCCTGGCATCTTTTCCTTTTCAAGCCCAGCAGTTTCTGCCCCTCCCGGGAAGGTGCTTTCACCTGCCCAGGTGACAGTAATGAGCTCTGGCAGAGGCAAGTTTGGAGCTGAGGCCTGCAGGTCTGCCCCCATCAGGGCTGTTGGCCTTCCTCCCAATCCAGGCATCCTTACCTCTGGGCCCAGCTTCCTGAGGTAAGGAGGCCCGAACTCAGTGTCCAAGGGAGGACGGGGCCGGGGGTTCAGACTCCTGGGTCTGAGGGAGGAGGGGCTGGGGCCTGGACTCATGGGTCTGAGGGAAAAGGGGGCTGAGATTCTGGACTCCAGGTCTGGGGGAGCAGGGGCTGGGGGCCTGGACTCCTGGGTCTGAGCAAGGAGGGGGCTGGGAACCAGGACTTCTGGGTCTGAGGGAGGAGGGGGCTGGGGGCCTGGACTCCTGGCTCCAGGGAAGGGAAGTTTAGGGCCAGGTGATTGCAAAAACTCCTCAACTCTTCCTGGTCAAAGGCCACAGGGCTGGAGAGGAAGTAGATGGGTTGGGGTGAGGGTGGGGGGTAAAGTCCCAGGGATGGAGCTTGGCTCTGGGTGGATCAGGGCCACACAGGAGGCCTGGAACAAGCCTTGGGAATTTGGGGCCTGGAAAGTGGAGGAACCCCATCAGCTGGTGTTGGAACCCTGCAGTTTACAGACAGCAGGGGCCCAGCTTTGAAGCCCCAGAGGCTCAGGGGCAAGAGGCGCTGGGAGCCGGTACTGGAGAGTGTGAGGAGAGGGTCTGGCAGGAAGGGAGTCCTTGTGAGCCAGAACTCAGTTCCCAGGTGGGACAGGCTCTGAGGGACATGGCCTGCTGGATCTAGTTCTGGGGATGTCTCAGGGGAGCTGTGTGTTTGGAGGGACTTCTTGGGGGGTGGTGTTCATGGAGGTAGGGGAGTGGCAGGATGCCCCTAGGCCTGGTAGGCAGAGCTAGAGGCCCTGAAATGGGGGTGAGAGAAATGTTCGGGTGTGGTGGGCATTGATGGGGGCATTTGAGGCAGTTGAGGAGAAGAGGGGCAGATTTCTTTAGGAGCAGGGTACTGCGAGGTATAGGGACAGTGCATGGATTACTCTGGAATTGCTATAATCTGCACCCTTGTCTCCGGCTCCCTTAAGGGCAGGGAACAGTCTAGTACATTCACCCAGTGCCCTAGGTTGCCTCCATTATAGCTCATAGCACATTGGCTTGGGATGTTCTGAGACTAGAGCTGGTCCACTCCCAGACCAGGAGTTCCCAGAGGCAGGCAGGGCCCTGGTCTGGGTCGCCAGGCATACTCTGAGCCAGGCCTGGAACTTGAGAGGCCTCAGGGGTGAGTGAACGGGGCCAGTGTACCCATTGTACAGAGACAGAAACTAAAGCAGTGAGATTGGAGTGTTCTGCAGGCATGGAGCACACACAAGGTAGTCAGGGAACCTGTGTGACATAGGTCAGATGAACACCCTCGCCTGGGTTCCATCTCACATAGAGTAGAAGCAAAGTTCTTGCTGTGGCCCACAAAGCCCCACATGATCTGACCCCCTTTGTCTCCTCTCTGAGTTCACCTCCTACCTTTCCTTCCTCACTCACTCTGTTCCAGCCACATTGGCCTCCTTGCTGTGTCACAGATGTACAAGTGCGTTCCTTTCTCAGGGCTTTTGCACTGGCTGTTCCCAGTGCCTGGAACTCCTCGCTGTTCCTTAAACACCTGGGCAGCCTCCAACCTCAGGGCCTTTGCATAGACTGTTCCTCTGCCAGGAACTCCTCGCTGCTCCTTAAACACCCAAACATATTCCTGCCTTAGGGCCTTTGTACACGCTGTTCCCTCTGCCTACAATACTTTTCCTCCAGACATCTCTATGGCTCCCTTCCTCACCTCCTTTAGGTCTTCATTCAAATGCCACATCAGAGAGGCTTTCTCTGTCCACCCTAATTAAAATGTCAACACTCCCCTCAACCCTAAGATCTCCCGTTCTCTGCTTCATTTTTCCCCTTCGCATTTCTCACCACTTAACATGCTATATAATTTACTTCTTTATCTTTTTATCTGTCTCCTGGGATTAGAGTGATGTTGTCCAATAGAAATATAAATGCCAGCCAAATATGTAATTTAAAATTTTCTGGTAGTCACATTAAAAAAAGAAAAAAGGAACAAGTGGCATTAATGCTAATTATATATTTTTCTTGATATGCTATTCAGGGTTAAAGAAAAATATATAATCCAAAATATCATTTCAACATGCAAAATATCATTTTAATGTGCAATCTATATAAAAACTGTTTAATAAGATATTATACATTCTTTTTGTCGTACAGTCTTTGAAATCTGGAGTGTATGTTACCCTTACAACCCATCTCAGTTCAGACTTGCCACATTTCAAGTGCCTGCCAGCCCTATGTAGCTATTTACATTTAAATTTAATTAAAATGAATTAAGTTAAACAAGTTAAAAATTTTTTCCTCAGTCGCGCTCGCAACACTTCAAGGTGTCAGTAGGGACATGTGAGAGTGGCCTGCAGATGGGACAGCACACGGCTAGAACTTAAACTCCTTATGCGGGCTGGGATCTTTTTCTGGCTTGTTCATCGCTGCGTCCCCCGTGCCTAGAACAGTGCCTGGCTCACAATAACCAAAACAAAACCCAAACCCATTGCTGTAGAGTCGATTCCGACTCACAGCAGCCCCATGTGTTCCAGAGCAGAACCGCTCCATAGATGGGATGAAGAATAGAGGCACCTCTGGGTGGGTTCGAACTGTTAACGTTTGGCTAGTAGTGGAGCACTTGACCCCGTTTTGACCCATTTTGCAGAAGTGTAGAATGAGGTCTCCGAAGGAAGGCAGTAGGGACTGCCCGGGGGATTTGAGATGTGGAGTGCACGCCACCTGACCTCTACCCTCTCTCTCTCTCCCCACTGCAGACCATGGCAGCAGTGACGATGTCGGTGCCAGGCCGGAAGGCGCCCTCTAGGCCGGGCCCAGTGCCCGAGGCTGCCCAGCCTTACCTGTTCGCGCCCCAGGGGCCGCACGGCGGTAGCGGGCCTGGCAGTTGGCCTGGGAGCTCAAGCACCTCGCCGCAGGTGGAGTGGACGGCCCGGCGCATGGTGTGGGTGCCTTCGGAGCTCCATGGGTTCGAGGCAGCGGCGCTGAGGGATGAGGGCCAGGAGGAGGCGGAGGTAGAGCTGGTGGAGAGTGGACGGCGGCTGCGGCTTCCGCGGGACCAGATCCAGCGCATGAACCCGCCTAAGTTCAGCAAGGCCGAGGACATGGCGGAGCTGACCTGCCTCAACGAGGCCTCGGTTCTGCACAACCTCCGAGAGCGATACTACTCGGGCCTCATCTATGTGAGTGACCGGTGCCCCCCGCCAAGGGGGGAGGGTGTTGGACGGGGTGGGGAGCGGGATGTCAGCACCCCTGCCTGGGTATACACTCCTCCAGGAAACCCCGAGCGGGGATGGATTGATATTGTACCCATTTCTCTGAAACTGGGAGAGATTTGTTGTTGTTAGTTGCTGTGGAGTGATTCCGACTCATGGCAAGCAACCCCATGTGTGCAGAGTAGAACTGCTCCATAGGGTTTTTTTTGTTTGATTTAATAGAATTTATTTTATTTTTGTTGAGACTATACACAGCGGAAAGTACACCAATTCAACAATTTCTACATGTACAATTCAGTGACATTGTGCAACCATTCTCACCCTCCTTTTCCGAGTTGTTCCTCCCCTATTAACATGAACTCATTGCCCCTAAGGTTTATATCTAATCTTTCAAGTTGACTGCTGTCAGTTTGATCCCATATAGGTAGATCTTGAAAAAGCGCAATGCTCAAGGCAGACATTCTTTACAAATTAAGCTAAACTATTGTTTGGTTTTAAGAAGACTTAAGGGGATATTTTTGGCTTAAGGTTTAAGATTTAAAGATTATCTCAGGGCAATAGTTTCAGGGGTTCATCCAGCCTCCATGGCTGCAGAAAGTCTGAATTCCATGAGAAGCTGAAATTCTGTTCTGCATTTTCTCCCTTTTGATCAGGATTCTTCTGCAGAATCTTTGATGAAAATGTTCAGTAAGCTCTGTAGGGTTTTCAAGGCTTTGAAAGCAGATCGCCAGGGCTTTCTTCCAAGGCACCTCTGGGTAGGTTTAAAACGCCATTTGGCTAGTAGTGGAGTGCTTAGCCGTTTGCGCCACCCTGGAACTCTGCTGGGAGAGAGTAAGAAGGCAATATTCTACCCACCTAATACACAGTCCTAAATCCACAATTCCAAATCCCCAAATGCTATTATAAAAACCAAAACCAAATCTGTTGCTGTTGAGTCGATTCTGACTTCATAGCGACCCTAGTGCTATGGAAACCAGAAATATATTCCTGAGATCTACCTCCAAAATCCAACCTAAAATAACGGGAAGCTATTGATAACTTTTTATCCTGTGTTGTGTGAATATTCCTATGCTCAGTTACCAGATTATACACAGTTGGATTACAAGGGTTGTATCAGGCTCTACTGGGTAGATGCACCATATAATTTTTTGAAGCATAAAAAATTCTGAATTCTCAACTCATACCAATGGTTTTGAAAAAGGTTATAGATTTATAATAATGAGAACCATTGAGTATGGAAAACTCCATGCTGGGCTCTGTGCTAAATGCCTTCCTTTTATTAATTCATTTAATCTCACCTTACACAAGGTAGAGTCTATTATTATCCCCATTTTATATAAGAGGAAACTGAGGCCTAGGAGATTTAATACCGATGATAACTAACCTTTATTAAGCATTTACTAAATACTTTTCTAAAGGTCTCCATTTGGCACAAGCTGTTTGTGATAGGCTCTTAACATAAAGATTGGCAGTTTGAGCCATGGAAGAAAGGCCTGGCAATCTGCTCCCGTAAAGATTATAGCCGAGAAAACCCTACGGGGCAGTTCTACTCTGCAACACACGAGATCACCATGAGTTGGAATCGATTTGATAGCAACAAGTTTGGTTTTTGTAAGCACTCTTCTAAGCACTGTAAAATACTGTCTCAAAAAATTTTCACAACTAGAAAGCATTTTGTCCCCATTTTACAAATAAAGAAACTAAGACACAGAGAGGTCAAGTCCCCTTGCCCAAGGTCACCCAGTTGGACATGGCAGACCTGGGTAGCCTAGCTCCAAACTTTACCAGTTTACTGTGGTGCTTGTTCAGATTAAGATAGGATTGATGATAGTGAGGTTGACTATGGTTGTCTACCAAGCTCTGTGCTAAATACTTGATACATGTCACCTTATTTCATCTTTACAGCAAACAGATGGGGTAGAGCAGCAGTTCTAAACCCTGACTTAACATTAGAATCACTTGGGGAATTTTTACAAAATACCAACGCCTAACCCTGATGCCAGGAACCCTGGTGGCATGATGGTTAAGCACTTGGCTGCTAACTGAAAGGTCGGTAGTTCAAACCCACCAGTGGCTCCTCGGGAGAAAAGACCTGGCGATCTGCTCCTATAAAGATTATAGCCTAGGAAACCCTATCGGGCAATTCTGCTGTGTCATATAGGGTCACTATCAGTTGGAATCGACTTGATGGCACACAATGAGCCCTACCAGGTTCTCCGGGGGTATGACATGAGCACTGGTATTTTTTATAAGCTGGTTTTATAATGGGTACCCAAGGGGTTATTAATTCTATTTAACAAGCAAACAGGATTAGAGAGATTGACAAGGAATGTCAAGAATAATATAAAAAGTAATAATAATGGGTGCTTAGCAAATATTTATTGAGCATTTATGATGTGCCAAGCACTATTTTAAGTGCTGTGGGTTACCAGCTCATCTCTGGGCCAGGAACTTTTATTATCGCCTGACGCCCAGGAATGTTAAGTGACTTGGGCCCAGGTCACACAGCAATGAAAGACTCATGCTGGGATGTGAACCTAGGTATCTGGCCCCAGAGTCATGCCCACGATACCACTTTTGATGGGTGAGGTCTCACAGCCTTGCTCATTTAAACTGGCCCCTACATCCACCCTGTTGAGGGTCCCAAAGGACAAGTTCATAATATTGCTATAAAGTCCAACTCCCATTTGGCAAAGGAGAAGACTGAGGCTTTGAGACAGGCAGTGGCTGGCTCGTAGCCCCTCAGTTTGTGGTGGCAGCAGTGGGATTTGAGTCGAGGGCCCTGGACAGGATTGGCTCCTTCTTTAGGCTGCCCTGGCCCTTTCCACTGCCTCACACACCTTTACAAAAACCCCATTGCCATTGAGTCACTTCTAATTCATGGTGACCCCATGTGTTACAGAGTAGAACTGATCCATAGGGTTTTCTTAGCTGTAGTCTTTATGCAAGTGGATCTCCAGGTCTTTCTTTTGTGGAGCCGCTGGGTAGGTTTGAACCGTCAAACTTTTTAGGTTAGCAGTCAAACACAACCGTTTGTCCCACCCAGGGAACCTTCACACCGTTATAAGTCCTGGGAAAAAGGCCTTTGATCAATCCACTTCCCTGAAGGTGATCTCACCAATAGCCAATATATTAGTTTCCTATTGCTGCTATAACAAATGAACACAAGCTGGGGGTCTTAAAACAACAGAAGTTTCTTCTCTCACAGTTCTGGAGGCCAGAAGTCAGGAATCAAGGTGTTGGCAGGGCCGTGCTCTCTCTGAAGGCTCTGGGGGAAGCCTTCCTTGTCTCTTCCAGCTTCTAGGAGTTGGAGAAAAGTTTACAACAGTGCCTCACAGAGAGAGCAAGCACTCACTGAAGGCTAAAGATTATTATTAAGGCCCAATTTGCCTCCTGCCTGGGCTTCCAGAATCTTCTGTCTTGCTTTCACTTCTCAAGCCCCACTTCTCTGGCTCCCTGGCCACGGCCTTAGCTCAAGTGTTTCTTGGCTGTGGGTGCATCACTCCAGTCTCTGCCTCCATCCTCACATTGCCTTCTCCCTTATGTCTGTGTCTTCTCCTTTGTGTATCTCTTATAATGACGCTGTTGTTGGGTGCCATCGAGTCGATTCCGACTCATAGTGACTCCACGTGATGGAGTAGAACTGCCCCATAGGGTTTTCTAGGCTCTGATCTTTACAGGAGCAGATCTTCAGGTCTTTCTCCCACACAGCCGCTGGGTGGGTTTGAACTGCCAGCGTTTCGGTTAGCAGCCAAGCGCTTAACCGTTGCACCACCAGGGCTCCTTATAGTGACGCTAGTCATTGGATTTAGGGCCCACCTGGGTAGCCAGGATGACCTCATCATGAAATCTTTAACTTAATTACATCTGCACATTCCAAATAGGCAACGTTCACAGGTTCTGGGGCTTAGTCGTGGATATATCTCTTGGGGGTCATCATTCAACCCCTGAGAGCCAGGGAGATCATAGTAACACCCTAAACATTGAGCCCCCCTTTGCCTTTTAATAAATACTCACTGGGGGCTCATGAACCATTGCAGCAACCTTTTGAGGTCTCTGTGGTCATCCTTATTCTGCAGGTGGGTAAACTGAGCCTCAGAAACGGGACAGGACTTGGACAAATCCCCACAACTAGGAAGCAGCTAAGCTGGGATTTGAACTCAAGTTAGTCTGACTCCCGACCCCCACGTCCTATCCATTGCCCTAGGAAGATTTTTTAGAAAGCTCAGGGAAAAACAAAAAAAAATATGAGGTCAGAGCTAAGGCTGTGGCTGGGTAGCCAGATAATTGGGGCCTGAGACATGGAGGCCAGGTAGAAGATTCTGGGAGCCCAGCCAGGAGGAGAATTGGGCCTTAGTAATAGTCATTAGAACTTATTGAATGCCTGCTTTCTCTGTCAGGCGCTGTTCTAAACTTCTTTCCAATATGATGTTGTTGAACCTGACTCTCCATAAGGCTGTGAGGTAGGGATTATCACCACCTCTTTCCTCACAGCTTGAAGAGGGAAAGCTGGGGACCCAACACGTAGACATGTATGGGGCACACACAGTGTTCTAGGGTCCATGCTAAGACCCACAGATGCAACATGAACTTGTCTATGGCCCCCACCTACCCTCTGGGAGAAGTTCTGTTCCTGTCCCCATCTGACAGATGAGAATGACCCAGAAAGGTTAAGATGCTTGCTCAAGTGACCCAGCTAGAAAATGTTAGAGGTGTGATTCAAGCTCCACCTTGCTTGTCTTAGTGCTGAACAAATATTTGTTGGCCGACCAGCTAGTGGTGGGAGGACAGTGTAGCCCAGTGGAAAGTGAGCTGGACTAGCTGGCTAAGTCACTAACTAGTTAAAAGCTTAACTAAGCTGCTAACCAGCTAAGCAACTGACTAGCCAAGTAGCTAGCTAAGTAGCTGACTAGCTGATTAAGTAGATAACTAGTCAAATGGTTAACTAACCCTAACGAGTTGCTGCCACAAATAGGTTCTTTGGCCTTGAGTCACTCAGGGCTCCGTCCCTTCCCTGGACTCTTGGGGACCCATTTAGTGAGCACTCATGGTGCTTTCTGCTCTGTGAGGCAGTGGATGATACATTACTGCGTATTCACTCCCAAACCCCTTCTAAGAGGCAGAGATTAAAAGCTCCGTTGTCTAGGGTTGGAAACTGAGGCTCAGAAAGGGCAAGCCACTTATGCAAGGACCTACACAGCTGGAAAGCACCAAGTCAGGATTCGAACCCAGGGTGACATGGCTTCAACGTCGGAGTGAGCGCTTCACTTCCAAGTGGGGCAGGTAATAGGAGTGTCAGGACCCATGTGTGGAGTGCCTTTTATGGGCCCTGCTGTTGCTGGCTGGTTTTATCTATTATCTCCCTTAATCCCTACAGCAGCTGTAATGAGGTGGGGAGTGTCGCCCCGTTTTCCAAAGGAGGAACTGAGACTAAAGGGAGAGTCACTGTTCTGAGGAGAGGTGGAGATGGAATTTGGACCCAGATCTGTCAGCAGAGCCCCTTGGGATGGGGCAGTCGTTCCAGACCCCTCCAACAGACCTCCTCAGCCCCATCCCGGAGATCCACATATCCCCGACCCTCTCTGGGGGCACCAGCTTCCGCCCTATGCCCCCTGCCTTGGCGGCCAGCTCAGGTTCCTGTCCCTGGAGTGTCGCCCTGGGAACAAGGTGTGGCCGACAGGAGGGGGCTGGGGCGGGCAGGTGGCGTAGGGAGTGGGTTCCTGCGCCAGTAGCCATGAGATACCCTCGCAGGGAATGTGGTCGGGCTGCCCCGCCCGCCCTCCGAGAGTGAGAGGCTCGAGAACTCCCAGGAGCGCCCCTCCAGGCGGGGCTAGCAGACACCCAGCAAACCGGTTGTTCTGCTCCTGGCTGGCCACCCACCCTTCTCCCCGTTAAAAGCTTTGCACCTGGGAGCTGGGCAGCTTGTGGTGGCCACACCCTGCTCCACCTGGTGAGTCCGAACTGTCTGGAGCTTAAAGCCGTCATGTTGTAAATCAGCTAAGCAATTGGTCAGCCAAGTAGCTAAGCAGCTGACTAGCTGGCTAAGTCACTAACTAGTTAAATAGTTAACAACTAAGCTGCTAACCAGCTAAGCAACTGGCTAGTCAGCTAAGTAGCTGACTAGCTGGCTAAGTAGCTAACTAGTTAAAAGGTTAACTAAATAATGCTGTAACCAGCTAAGCAGCTGGTTAGCTAAGCAGCTGATTAGCTGGCTAAGTAGCTAACTAGTTAAACAGTTAACTAAACTGCTAATCAGCTAAATAGCTAACTCTTGCTAGTTTTGTAGCTAACTCTTGGGCTAGTTTAGTTAGTTAGCTCTCTGGCTAGTTCATCTAAGTGGCTAGCTAGCTCTCTAGCTATCTTGCCTCTGCATGTGGTAAGTACATCCCTTGTGAGCTGGAGCGAGTCTTAAACCATTTCAGGGTCTTTAACCTGGATAGAATTCAGGGGATCTCTGAACTTGGAAAAAAAAATACATCTTTATTTTCATGGCCCTCTAACCTGAAATTTAGCATTTCTTCCTGTAAGAGTGCATTACAAAACCCAGAAGTATAAGCAGGACCTGGGAGCCTGTCATCTGTGAAATTTCAGATGTTTCTATCATGTTTCAATTGTCGCAGGTTATCTGCAGCATCCTTCTGGAGATATTCTATGTATGTTGAAGCAAATACATAGAAAATATACCCCCTTCCGCTTTCAACAAGGAGCCCTGGTGCAGCGGTTAAGCACTCAGCTGCTAACTGAAAGATGAGCAGTTCGAACCCACTAGCCACTCCTCAGGAGAAAAATGTGGCAGTCTGTTTCCATAAGGATTACAGCCTTGGAAACCCTTTGGGGCAGTTCTGCTATGTCCTGTACAGTCGCTCTGAGTCAGAATTGCCTCGACGGCACACAACCACCACCACCACCACTTTCGACACGAATGGTTGCTTATGATACGTAGTTCTCATCTCACTTCCTTTCACTTGTAATATTTTAGAGGTAGTTCCCTTATCTGTACACCAGGAGCTTTGTAGAAGTTCGTTGTATGGACAAACTAATTCATTTAACCATCCCCGAGTGCTGGGCATTCAGGGTGTTTCAGGTACTGCTGTTACAAAGAATGCTGTAGTGGATGGCCTTGCACTTGGTCATTCATGCATGTGTAAGTCTGGGCAGTGGCTGGCTTTGTTTGACCCAAGTCTGGCTGGCTGCCAAGGCCACATTCTCTCTCAGGGCGAATCCTAGTCCATTTTGCAGTTCTTTGTACAATTTGGAAAAGGCACCCCTCCCTCAAGATTCCTTTCTAACATCAGTCTGAAAATGTTCATAACAAATATTCAAATCTGCAGTCATCAGGGCGTGAATGGCAGCCTCTCAGACGGATGCCCCTGTGCAGTGCACAACCTGGCCAGCTGTATATGGCGGCCCTGTACACAACTGAGGCCCTCTCCCCTCTTGCCCACCACAGACATACTCTGGCCTTTTCTGTGTGGTCATCAACCCGTACAAGCAGCTTCCCATCTATACAGAGGCCATCATAGAGATGTACCGGGGCAAGAAACGTCACGAGGTGCCACCCCACGTGTATGCAGTGACTGAGGGGGCCTATCGAAGCATGCTCCAGGGTAAGTGTGGGGCTGTGGCTGTGGGGCAACGGCTGCATGGCAGCAGGAATCTCCAGTGGGGCCAGGATGAGGTGTGGGGAGCTGCTTAGGGGGCTGCCGGGAGCCAAGGTCAGGGTCACGTGACAAGTTGGGGATTTCAGACTCCGCAGGTTTCTTAGGGGACTGAGGAGACACTACTGGAAGACTGAACAGATATGGCTTTGGGTCCTACCAGACCCAGGCCCCTTTTCATCTCTCTATATGTTCACCCCGTCTCCCAACAAGTATCATTTGGGAGCCAATGGGTTCCAGGCTTCTGCATAAAATTTCTCAAGACAGTGATATCTAGATCCTTCAGTCATTCAAACATTCATGATATATAAAACTACACAATTAACATATATAACATACATAATGCACTCGTTATATATTTATTATATATCATCTATTTTAATAAACCAAAACCGATGCCGTCAAGTCAATTCCGACTCATAGCAACCCTAAAGGACGGAGTAGAACCACCCCATAGGGTTTCCCAGGTTGTAATCTTTAAAGAAGCAGACTGCCACATCTTTCTCCCACAGGGCAGCTGATGGGTTTGAACTGCCGACCTTTCAGTTAGAAGCCAAGCGCTTAACCATTGTACCACCAGGGCTCAGTAAATATTTAGTATATATTAAAGTATTTATTATATCATATGGCATATAATAGTATATAGCAACACATTTATATTATAAAGTTTATATTTATATCATCTACAGGGTCGCTATGAGTCAGAATCGACTCAACAGCAGCGGGTTCGGTTTTTGTTTTTTTTATATTTGTATCATTTAATATATCCTATACTTTGATTAAGAGCTCTGGTAGTGCAGTAGTTAAGCCCTCGGCTGCTAACCAAAAGGTTGATGGGTCAAACCTACCAGCTGCTCCTCAGGAGAAAGATGTGGCAGTCTGCCTGCATAAAGATTACAGCCTTGAAAACCCTATGGGGTAGTTCTACTCTGTCCTATAGAACTGCTGTGAATCAGAATTGACTCGATGGCAGTGAGTTTGGTTTGGTTTGGTTTGGTTTGGTTTTTTAATTCTTTGATTGTGTATTATACTGATACAGTTAGTATCTATTTATAGCATATGATAGCTAATAGTATACAGTAACACATGTTGTACAGATTATTTATATTTAATATATCCTATATCTTGATTGTATATATATATATACAATATTGTATATATATATACATATATAATGATATATGTAATATATATTTATTTTTTATGGCATATAAATAATACACAACAACGCTTTTACATTGTATAGATTGTACTTACAGCATTTAATTTATACTCTATTTTGATTATATATTATAATGATATGTTTATAGTATATAACACAATGGTTCTCAAAGTGTGGTCCCCATACCAGCAACATCAGGATCACCTGGGAACTTGCTAGAAATACAAACATGGGTTCTACCCCAGAACCTGCTGAATCAGAAACTCTGGGTGTGCGGCCTAGCAATCTATGTTTTCACAAGATCCCCAAGTGATTCTGAGGCAGCTCAACTTTGAGAACGAGCGGTATGATACACAATATATAATAACATCTGTATCAGGTTGAGAACCAGTGATACAAAAAAACCCATTGCCACCGAGTCAATTCTGACTGATAGCAACCCTATAGGACAGAGTAGAACGGCCCCATAGGGTTTCCAAGGAGCAGCTGGTGGATTCGAACTGCTTACCTTTTGGTTAGCAGTCAAGCTCTTAGCCACTGTGCCACCAGGGCTCCAGTGGTGTAATATACAATATATAATACATCTGTAGGAGGTAATAGAACAGATAGAACACATTTGTATATAACTTACATTATAAATTTATACATAATATATACTTGTTTTATTTGGTTATACAACATAATTTGTTATATATATTTACTTTTATAATAATTTTTAGCTAATTATATGTTGGCTATTATTATATCTTATGTATAAATTCTACAATAAAGTAAGGGTTAGTGCCTACGCCGAGTCCCTGGGTGGTGCAAATGGTGAACACACTCGGCTGCTAACTGAAAGGGTGGAGGTTGGAGTCCACCCAGAGGCACCTCAGAAGAAAGGCCTGGCGATCTACTCCCAAAAAAAATCACCTGTGGAAAACCCTCTAGAGTGCAGTTATACTCTGACACATGTGGGGTCTCCATGAGTCAGGGTTGGCTCGAGAGCAACTGGTGGTACCTACTCGGTGCCAAGTACTTTTTGTGGGTTGACTCATTGAACGTCACGGCGACCCCATGAAGAAGGTTCTCTTGTGATCAACTTTTCTCCAGATGGGGGAACCAAGGCACAGAGCAGTGCAGTCACTGCCCATGGTCACACAGGTTGGTGGGTGGCTGTCTTAGTTATCTAGTGCTGCTATAACAGAAATAACACAAGTGGGTGGCTTTAACAAACAGAAATTTATTTTCTCACAGTTTAGTGGCTAGAAGTCCGAATTCAGAGCGCTGACTCTAGGGGGAGGCTTTCTCTTTCTGTTGGCTTTAGAAGAAGGTCCTTGTCTCTTCTGCTTCTGCTTCCTGGTTCCTTGGAAATCTCCATGTGTCTTGGCATCTGTCTTACCCCATCTCTGCTCTGCTCACTTGTTTAATCTCTTTTATATCTCAGAAGAGATTGACTCAAGATACACCCTACACTAATTCTGCTTCATTAACATAACAAAGACAGCCTATTCCCAAACGGGATTACGTGCACAGGAACAGAAGTTAGGATTGACAACACAAATTTTGGGGGGACATAATTCAGTCCATAATAGTAGCCGAGGTGGGATTTGAGCCCAGGGTCCCCAAACTGTGTATCACTCTGTGTACCCTTGCCCTACACCAGGCACCATGCTGAGCACTTTCAGAATGTTCTCTCTGAGATCGGACAACAGCCCTGAGAGGGAGGGGCTGTTCTGAGCCCCATTTTTCAGACAGAGAAACCGAGACTGGCCCAAGATCATACAGTGAGGCCAAGAGGCTGCTGGACCTTGAACCCATGTCCATATAGCCCCAAGACTAGGTTTTTAACTCTGAGATCGTGTTGAACGCAGCTCACTCCCTGAGTTCAAACACACCCAGCTCCTTTAATTCTACCCTTAAACACATCTGCACCCCCCTCCAACTCTGCCCCACCCCAGCCTCACTGGCCTTTTTTGCTTCCACTCAAACATCTCCAACTCATTCCTACCTCAGGGCCTTTGCCTTCTGCCCGGAGTGCTTATCCCCCTGACTAAGCTGAAATGTCACCTCTTCCTAGAAGCCTTCCCAGCTCCCTACCCCGACCCCACATGCTTAGGTTTCTCAACTGCAGCACTGTTGACATTGGGGCTGAATTATTTTTTGCTGTGGGGAGCCATCCTGTGCATTGTAGGGTGTCAAGCACCAGCCCTGGTCTCTACCCACTAGATGCCAGTAACACCCCTACCCAAAGTCTCCAGACTGCCAGATATCCCCTGGGGGGTTGTTGTTAGTTGCCATGGGGTTAGCTCTGACTCATGGCGACCCCATGTACAACAGAACTAAACTTCACCTGGCCCTGCACCATCTTCGCCATCGTTGGTATACTCGAGTCCACAGTTGTGACCATTGTTTATTTTGGCTGCCTTCCAATTTAGGGGGCTCATCTTCCAGCACTGTGTTAAGCAATATTCCATTGTGACCCACTGGGTTTTCATTGGCTACTTTTCAGAAGTAGATCACCAGGCCTTTCTTCCTAGTCTGTCTTAGCCTGGAAGCTCTGCTGAAACCTGTCCACCATGGGTGACCCTGCTGGTTTTTGAAATATCAGTGGCATAGCTTCCAGTATCATAGCAACATACAAACCACCACATTATGACAGACGGGTGGTGGCCCCTGGGGGCCTGGGGGCAAAATCACCCCTGGTTGAGAACCACTACTTTATCTTGTTACCTGTTGAGTTTTCTTCCCAGTGCTAATGGTTACTTGAAATCATCTTCAGCATTAGTTGATGTGTGTTTCGTTCCCCATGTAAGTGGAAGCTCTATGAGGGCAGGGACCTTGCTAATACCACTGGGTGGTCAGCATGCATTTGTTGAATGGTTGTATCTCGCCCAGGGCTGGGCGCTAGGTAGATGTTGGGGACCTAGCCGTGCTCTCTGCCCTCAAGTTGAGCAGATGACCCACCAGCAGGCCACCGGTCTTATCACTCCCATTTTATGAGCTTGTTTTGTACCAGGGACTGAACCTTGGGCCCAAGACCTCCCTCTTGTGTCTTTGAGCCTCACATGTCCAGCACAGAGTGACTCACAACAGGGGCTCAGATTGAGGTTTGTTGAATGGATTACGGTAGTCCCTCCTTATCTGCGAGGAATACATTCCAAGACCCCCAGTGGATGCCTGAAACCGCGGATAGTACTGAACCCTATATATTCTATGTTTTTTCCTTTATGTACATACCTACAATAAAGTTGAATTTACAAATTAGGCACAGTAAGAGATTAACAACAATAACTAATAATAAAACAGAGGCACTTTATGGCTTCTCTCTGGCATATCTGAATTGCCAGCATTGCTACTCTTCCACTTTGGGGCATTATTAAATCACATAAGGATTACTTGAACACAAGTACTACAGACCGTGGTTGACCACAGCTAACTGAAACCACGGGAAAGCAAAACCACAAATAAGGGAGGACTACTGTATTTAATTCCATTGGGGTTTATTGCCCCCATCTTATAGAACGTTCTCTCTGAGTTCTGACAACAGCCCTGTGAGGGAGGGGCTGTTTTGAGCCCCATTTTTCAGATGGGGAAACCTAGGCACAGAGCAACTCAGAGACTGGCCCAAGGGCACACAGCGAGGCGGAGAGGCAGCTAAGGCTCAGAGACACAGCTGCTTTCCCAAGATCACACAGCAAGAAAGAGGCCGAGCCAGGGCAGGGCCTTAGAATCCAGGGGTGTCATGCACCCAAACCCAAGTTTTTCCTTACCCCTCAGGAATGATTTTGAAAAGGGGGTGGCCCCAGGGTCCTGCTGAAGAGACCCTCTCCACTTAAAGTGACATGCCTCCTCCCCTTCTGTCCCTTACAGATCGTGAGGATCAGTCCATTCTGTGCACGTGAGTAATCCAGGAGGACTTCCTGGAGGAGGAGGGGGCTGGAGGGAGCCAGCTGGGCATGGCTCTGGAATGAGCGGGTTGGGGAGGGCTTCTCTGGCTTCATTGCTGACCCCCTGTGCTTCCCCTTGTCTCCCCATAGCGGGGAGTCTGGAGCCGGGAAGACAGAAAACACCAAGAAGGTCATCCAGTACCTTGCCCACGTGGCTTCATCCCCGAAGGGCCGGAAGGAGCCAGGCGTCCCCGTAAGTGGAGTCTCGCCCCTACCCCCCATGCCATCCCCTACCCGCTAGCCCATTGTCTTCCTAAAGCACCAGTGGTCACACCTGTCAGGGACCCACAACTGCCACTTATGGTGGGCCTACTGTGTGTGTGCAGCTTTGGGGTACCCTCAAGCCCTGCATTGCCCCCCAATAATTTTCTGCCTCCCTCTCAGAGGGCCACAGCTGGTGTGGGGCCTCCTCCTGGCTGCCCATCTGGGCACCTACTATGCATCTGGCATAGCACTGGGAGCAGAGGCAGGTGGATACAGAGAAGCAAGGGCCAATTCTTGCCTTCACCGGTACTTGGCACAGTGCCTGGCACGTTGTTGTGTGTTGTTGAGTCAATCCCGACTCATAGCAACCCCACAGGACAGAGTAGAACTGCCCCATAGGGTTTCCAAGGCTGTAATCTTTACAGAAAGAGCCCTGGTGGCACAGTGGTTAAGCACTCGGCTGCTAACCAAAAGGTCGGCAGTTTGAACCCACCAGCTGCTCCTCGGGAGAAAGATGTGGTAGTCTGTTTCCATAAACATTACAGCCGCGGAAACCCTATGGGGCAGTTCTACTCTGTCCTTTAGGTCACTATGAATCAGAATTGACTTGATGGCAATGGGTTTTGTTTTGGTTTGAATCTTTACAGGAGCAGATTGCCAGGTCTTTTCTCCCTCCAAGACGCTGGGTGGGTTCCAACCGCCAACCCTTCAGTTAGAAGCTGAGCACTTAATTACTGATTAAAAAAAACAAAAAACAAACTGATTGCTGTCAAGTCGATTCCCACTCATAGCAACCCCAAAGGACAGAGCAGAGTTGCCCCATAGGGTAATCCTGATGGGAGCAAATCACCAGCTCTTTCCTCCCATGGAGCTGCTGGTGTTTTCGAACTGCTGACTTTTCAGTTAGCAGCCGAGTGCTTAACCACTGCACCACCAGTGCTCCTCGCCTGGCACACAGTAGGTGCTTAATTTCTTGAGCACCTACTCTGTGTCAGGCCTGATCTCAGGCATCTGCAACGCCTGGGTTTGTTTTATAAGCAAACTGCTTATATAATGCTCCCCGCCGTTGTAGATCCTTTGCTTATATTAACTTACTTAACACTCGGGGCAGGTGGATGGTGGTGTTTTCCTGTGTTAATCTGAGCAACTGAGGCTCCGGTGGGTTGAATCTGTTATCAGAGGTGGAGGAGGAGTCAAACCTAGGCAGTCCAGCCATCTACCCCGCTCCACACTCCCCATTTTCCCAGCCCTTCTACCTCCTACCCCCTCACCACCCAAGACCTCCGGTTCACCTGTGTGTCTGTCCACGTTCCATGTGCCGTGTCCTGGTCCATGTCTCGTGTCCTGTGACTTCCTCAGGCCTCCGCCAGCACCATATCTTATGTGAGTAGCAGGGAATCACCTGGGGTATTGCCCGCCTATCCTCATCCCCACCCAGTGTCTTCCTGGTAGACAAGCTCAAGGCACCAGCAGTCACACCTGCCAGGGACCCACACTACTGCTTGTGGTGATCCTATGAGTGTATACAGCCTGGACCTACACTGCCACGTGTGGTGGTCCTACTGTGTGCACAAAGCCTGGAGCTGCACTGACATTTATGGTGGCCCTATTGTGTGCATGCAGCTTGGACCCACGCTGCCATTTATGGCAGCCTTGGACCCACACTGCCATTTATGGCAGCCCTACTGTATGCATGCAGCCTGGACTCACACTGCCATGTGTGGTGGTCCTATTGTGTGCATGCAGCCTGGGCCCACACTACCGTTTATGGTGGTCTTACTGTATGTACAGCCTGGGCCCACACTGCCACATGTGAGGGTCCTATTAGGAGTACACAGCCTAGACCCGTGCTGCCATTTATTGCAGTTCTACTGTGTGTGTGCAACCTGTGCCCACACTGCCACTCATGGCAGCCCTACTGTGTGCATGTCGATTGGCCCACAGATAGCAGCATTAAACAACTCAGAGACCAAAAACTACCATTTATTGCTAACCTACTAAGTGCACGTAGACAGGGCTCACAGATCCTGTGCAGTCACACAACCCGGAGACCCACACAGCCATTTATTGCAGACCTACTGGGTGTCTGGCCCAGGCTAGGCTCTGATGGCTCACAAGGAATTGAAAGAAATTGCTCAATGCCCTTGAGAACCTGCTTAGGAAGGAGGCAAGGGGATTGCTGTTTATGCACCTACTATGTGTTGGGCCTCTTTGCCAGGCACTGAGAGGATAAAGACATATGTATTGAATAAATGAGTTGAGCAACTGAATACAGGTAGTCCTCGATTTATGACGTATTTGAGTTACAACAAACTACCTACAACTGATCTTTTTATTTTTTGTACATTTTGTCATTAGTGATATGTACTACATACAATGTTGCAGTGCATAATTTGCTGATGTTATCATTCTCAGATGTCATGTTTCCAACTTCCAAAGACAAAGATCAAATTTATAAAGATACTGATAATAAAAGGCAATAATAATGAAAACTAAAAAAAAATAAAAAATAAAAATGAGGTATTTGACTTATGTCAGAACTGACTTAACGACGGAGTAGTTGTCAGAATGGAACATCATCGTAAGTTGGAGACTACCTGTAATACACTTTTGGGGCTCCTCAGTTGGGAAAGGGAGAGCATTTATTGAGCAATTCCTGTTAACAGGAAAGTAGATCCCATCCCTCCTCTGCTTAGAACCCACCTGTGGCTCCTGCCTCACTCCTAGTCAAGCATTCCAAAGTATTAAGTGAGTACATACTCATGGTAATAACAAAAAGTCAAATACAGTGAAATTCCTCTTCCTCCTCTCAGTCCCCCCTATCTTAGAGTGGTTTACACTGTTGACAGTTTGGTGCATATCCTTGCAGACCTTTTTCTGTACATTTACAAACATGTATATATCTGTAGAATTAAGAGTCTTGTTCTGTGGTGTTTTTTCTTAATTTTTTTTTTAATAATGAGATCACAGCATTGTTGCAAAATTGTTCTGTAACTTGTTTTGTTTTTCCACTCAATAATATGTTTGGAGATGTTTCCTTGTATGCCTCACAATAGATGGGTGGGCAAGACCTGGATGCAGGGAAATGGGCACACCCAGAACACACAAGGCCTCTTACATGCAGATGCTCAGGCAGCTATAAACACCCACCCCGTGCCCCCACCCCCCGCCCCAAGATGGACTAGCCCCGATTCTCACTGATACACCATATCCCACACCCTGGCAGGGTGAGCTGGAGCGGCAGCTCCTTCAAGCCAATCCCATCCTGGAGGCCTTTGGCAACGCCAAGACAGTGAAGAATGATAACTCTTCTCGATTTGTGAGTGCTGGGGCAGGGCAGGGCAGGGCCTGGCTGTGTGTCTCAGAGATGGGCTGGGCATGTAGAGGGGATGGGGAGGCAAAATGTGTGGGTCTGTTGAGGGAGGACAGGGCTGGGAGCCGGATCTCCTCACTGGGGACCTCACCATTGGAGTGGGGTTCAAGTCTCTACTGGAGAAAGTCGAGGGGCACCTCCTGGCTCTGGGAGGGATGGGCGTGGGGTTTGGGGTGCTCTTCATATCAGCAGCAGGAAGAAGACCCTGAGCCACAGCCTCCCCACCCCTATTCTCTCAGGGAAAATTCATTCGCATCAACTTTGATGTTGCTGGGTACATCGTGGGCGCCAACATCGAGACCTGTATCCTCTCCCAGCCCCAAAAGCACCTGGGAAAAGCAGGGCAGGAGCCAAGGAGGGTGCTCTGGGGATCCCATGTGCAGGGACCCTTGACGTCACCCGACTGCTCAGAGGGGGTCACGTTGTCCTGCCACTCAGGAGCTCAGGACAGCACAGATGCAGCTTTTCCACATGGTGGACAAGAGCGGGGGCTTCCGCTGTTTTTATAAAAAGGCCTTGCTATGGGGTGGTGAACTGGGGGTCCTCAAGACCACTCCCAGGTTCAGTGATTCACTAGGAGGACTCACAGGACTCAGCATATAGCCATACTCACCACAAAAACCATTTGCCATTGAGTCAACTCCAATTCACAGCAATCCTATGTGTGTCAGAGTAGAACTATGCTCCAGAGGGTTCAGGTGCTGGTTTTTTGGAAGTAGATTGCCAGGACTTTCTTCCGAGGCACCTGACTGGACTCAAACCTCCAACCTTTCGATTAGCAGCCAAGCATGTTAACCGTTTGCACCACCCAAGGACTCCGGCCTTTATGAGGGGTGTTATTATCAAGCTCATTTTATAGGTGATGAAACTGAGGCACAAGTGCTTATATGGCATGCCCAAGGACGCTCATCCAGTTAGTGACAAACCCATTGGCCTGGGTTCCAATGCCACTGCTTCTTGGGAGAGAAGGGGGAATGACAAGGGCAGGTTCGGGGGCTGGTGGGGTCTCCCTCTTCTCCCCTTTGGCACCTTGACTCGCCTCTACCCAGACTTGCTGGAGAAGTCGCGGGCCATTCGCCAGGCCAAGGACGAGTGCAGCTTCCACATCTTCTACCAGTTGCTGGGGGGCGCCGGGGAGCAGCTCCGGGGTCAGTGTCCCGCGTCTTCCCTGCTTGCGTGGGAGCGGGTGGGAGTTACGTGGGGGCCCCCTGCGTCCTGGGAAGAAAGTGGGAGGCATTCACAATTGTTAAGCACTAAGCTCTTGCTGTGTAGTGTGTCCTGGCGTCTGGGCATGCTAAGTCCTGCTGTGCGCACAGGGCAGGGCCTGCCACATGCATGGGCTGGATTCTGCAGCCTGGTGGGTCCTGCCACGTGTTGGATCCCAGTGTGTAGTGGATTCTCCCACTCCCAGCCCATGCTTCTCGACAGACTCTGTTGCCCTCTGGCGCCAGCCCTTTCCTTCCTCTCGCTCACGCTGGCCACATGGCTCCTGCTGCCTCCTGGCTCCTGCTTCTGCCCACAAGTCCCTGTGGCTTCTGCTTGCGCTGGCTTCTGAAGCTCCGGGGCTCCCGTCTGCTGTGGCTCCTCCACCCTGTGGCTTCCACCTCCTCCAGCTGTGCTGCACCCTGACTCCAGCTTTGCGGTGGCTACTGCTGCCTCGTGGCTCCTATTCTGGTTTGTGTTGCTTTTCAGCACCTGCTGCCTTAGGGTTCCCCCGACTCCGGCTCCTGCCTCTTTTGACCCCTCTGGGCCACAGCTTTTGCCTGAGGTTCTTCCTGTCTCCCTGTCTCATGTTCCTTCTGCCCTCTGGCTGCGGAAATGCCCAAAGCTCTTGTTTGTAGGGGTCCCCACTGCTGGCTGGTTCCTTCTTACTTATTCTGGCTCTTTTCAGCCCATAGCTTTTGCCACCCTGTGGCCTTGCAGCCACTTTGTCTTATGTCTGGTGGCCTCCTAGGCTCCTGTGGCCGCATGGCTCCTCCTTACCCCAGTTCCCAACCCCTGTGGCTTCTGAGACCACGTGTCTCTGACTGTGGTCCTTGCTACCCCATGACTTCTGCTGGCTTGAGCTCCTGCAGCCCCATTGCTCCTGCCGACTGGATCGCTCCTGCCTGCTCTGGGCAATTCCATGATTGAGACCCTCTAGGGAAGGGGGAAAGAGGAATTATGTAATATGTGCTAAGCACCTACTCCATGCCCGGCCCTTCTCATCCATCATGTGACATAAGGATCTTCATCAATTTGACTGAAGAAGAGACCAAGGGTCTCAGTGGGCAATGTCGTTCATCCTAAAGTCACCCACTCACAGTCGAAGAAGCTGAGAAATGAGTCTAATTCCACTGCTTGACCTTGCCTCTGCTCCTTACTCCCTGCAGCCGACCTCCTCCTGGAGCCATCTTCCCACTACCGTTTCCTGACCAATGGGCCATCGTCCTCTTCTGGCCAGGAGCGGGAGCTCTTCCAGGAGACGCTGGAGTCCCTGCGGGTCCTGGGATTCACCCATGAAGAAATCACCTGTGAGTGAGCCCCAGGCCCAGAGTACCCCTGTGGAGGGGTGGGGGTGCTGCACCACATGGGCAGGCTGGAGATCTGGCATGGGTCATTCATTCCTCAGTGTATTTGCTCGTGTGTTTATTGAGGACCTGACCTACTGTATACAAGTCACAAGGGCCATGTTGGGAATCAAGATTGACAAACATCCCTGCTTCGGGGAGACTAACACGAACGATAAACAGCAACAAGATATTCAAGGAAATTATAGAGTATATTGAAGGTGATGAACGCCATGGAGAAAAAACAGGGAATGGAGGAATGAGGGGGATTCAATTTTAAGTTAGGGTATAAGGGAAGGGCACACTGAGATGGTGACATTTGAGCAAAGACCTGAGGGAAGTTGGGGAGTGAGCTCTGGAGATATAGAAGGAACAGCATTCCAGGCAGAGGGAACAGCCTGGTCTAAAGGCCTGGAGGAGGTAAGAAAGTGAGCACTGGAGATATAGAGAGAACAGCATTCCAGGCAGAGGGAACATGCTATGCAAAGGCCTAGAGGAGGTGAGGGGGTGAGCAGTAAAGATATAAAGGGAAGAACATTCCAGGCAGAGGGAACAGCCTGTGCAAATTCTGGTAGGCAGGTGAGGACATGGCATATTTGAGGAGCTGAAACTTCTCAAGTGAATTCAGTCTTGTGTGTGGCTGAGGGAATTAAGGAGATAGGGCTACAGAGGTGGGAGGGCCAGACCACTCAGTACCTGGAACATTAGGCTGAGACTTTGTCCTGGGAACGCTAGGGAGCCATGGAGGGCTGTGAGCGGGGTAGGGGGCAGGGCCAGCTCTCGGACTGTGTGGCTGATAGATTGGAGGCTGGGAGGAGGCTGAGGCAAGGGTGCAGGCAGGAAAGGCTGAGGCTGAGGATGGGCTGTGAGGGGGAATGGAGGGGAGTTTGGTGCCTGGTGGAAGGTAGGATGGTCACTGAGATGAGGAGCCGGGGGTGGGGAGTGGGTTTGGAGGAAGATGCTGAGCTCAGTGAAGACATGAGGCAGGCATAGGCCTGGGACTCAGGAGCAAGGCTTGAGTTGCAGGTAGAGCGCCAAGATTTTCTTCTGGAAGTACAGGGGAGCTACAGAAGGACTGTGAACAGAGAAGGCGCAGGGCCAGCTCTGGGAGCAGAAAGACCCCTCTGGGGCCTTGCTGGGGACAGACTGGAGTGGAAGCCTAGAGGCCCAGAGGCTGGGGAGGATGCTGGGCCAAGGGTCCAGAGAAGACCCAGGACCCTGGCCTGGGTGCCCAGGTTGGTCTGGACTGGGCCACACTGAGGTTAAATACTCAGGTCATCCCCCAACCCCTCACCGTGTTTCATCTTTTCCACCAAACAGAGTATCTTGACTGTAGATGTGTTTCTACATGTGTAGATGGACACCCCTTTCTCTCTACGTATACCTCAAGGTCTCCCTGCGTGGCACAAATGGTTTGTACTCAGCAACCAACTGAAAGATTGGCAGTTCGAACCCACCCGGTGACACTGCAGAAGAAAGGCCTGGTGATCTGCTTCCGTAAATTTTCATAGCCATGAAAACGCTGTGGAGCAGTTCTACTCTATAACACACAGGGTTGCCATGCATGGGGGCTAACTCAACGGCAGCTAACAGCAACCACAAATGGACCTCCATCTTTTTTTTGTAGCTACGTAACATTTGGGGGATGAATTCAGATTTTTTTTAAAAAGGCAGACCCTTAGGTAGTTTTCAGGGCTGAGCTGGGGCTGGGCGGGTCTTATTCTCAGATCTCTAGCATTGCAGGAGGCAGCTCCTGGGGTGAGTTGGGAGGGCTGGAGATGGTCCAGAGAAGGCCAGCCTCGTGGTCTCCCAGGCTGCACGCAGCCCGCTGCATTGGGCGTATTGACACAGGGTCTCAGGCCTCCTCCCTCTGCTGCCCTGGCCAGATTTCCCAACCACACGGTTGTGCAACTCCCTAGCCTGCGCGTCTCCACTCTCCTCACCTCACTGGACAGCCTGATTCAAATGTGCAAACAAATTCAAATTGCAGCAGCCCTGGAGGACTAGACCTCACAGCCTGGGCTTAGGTCGCTCCTGGCTCCTGTACACACGCTTAACCAAAAAAAACAAACCAGTTGCCATCGAGTTGATTCCAACTCATAGCAATCTCACTTAACCCTCCCAGAGGCACAGACAGCAGCTTCCTACCTGTGGTGACCCCATGTGTTTCAGAGTAGAACTGCGCTCCACGGGGTTTTTAATGGCTGATGTTTGAGAAGTATATCACCAGGCCTTTCTTCCGAGGCACCTCTGGATGGACTTGAACCTCCAACCTTTCAGGTAGCAGCCGAGCATCTTAACTGTCTGCACCACCCAGGGACTCAAAACAAAACAAAATAAAAAACCCAAACCAGTTGCTGTCCAGTCAATTCCGACTCCTGGCGACCCTGTGTGTGTCAAAGTAGAACTGTGCTCCATAGGGTTTTCAATAGCTCATGTTTCAGAAGTAGATTGCTAGGCCTTTCTTCTGAGGCACCTCTGAGTGGATTCAAACCTCCAACCTTTTGGTTAGCAGCTGAACATGGTAAACTTTGCACCACCCAGGAACTCTATCGGAAGGTACTAATTTCTAGTTCTACCATCCAAGTACCTGAAGTGCCCATTTCTCCACATCCATCCAGCAACGGTGGTTTTATGCTTTTTTTCTTTTGCTGGCATGGTAGGTAGATGGGATTTCATGTTAGTTTGTGTGTGTGTGTGTGTTTTGCTTACCAGGAGTGGTTATTGTTGTTGTTAGGTGCTGTTGAGTCGATTCTGACTCGTAGTGACCCCGTGTGACAGTAGAACTGCCCCTAGGGTTTTCTAGGCTGTCATCTTTATCGAAGCAGATCGGCAGGTCTTTCTCTGCAGAGCCTCTGGGTGGGTTTAAGTCACCAGCCTTTCGGTTAGCAGCTTAACTGTTGTGCCACCAAAGCTCCCACAGGGAGTGGAGTTAGTCCTTTTTCCACGCATTCTTCTTTTTGACAAAAGAGGAGACAGAGGCTCAGGGAGATGGGTTGTCCTGCCCTAGGACTCCCCCCAACTTAAAAGGAGGCAGAGATGTGGTTGAACAAGGCCTGATTCCAAAATCAGCCCCTGATTCATTCCCAGAGAGGCAGGTGGTGCATCTGGGTCACCCACAGGTAACCCAGGGCAGAGAGAGCATTTGGGGCCACTTGAGGCAGAACCTCCATCCCCCTCCCCACTCCCTGTCTTTGCCCGCCTGCCCTTGGCGCCATAAATGCCCCATTGAGAGGTTGAGCAGAGGTAGCCTGGGAAGCAGGGAGGTGCACCAGCCTCTCAGGTGAGGATAGGACCCAGTATGGCCAGCCCTGCACCTCCACAGGCCCGGACTTGCTTGTGATCACCTGGTCTGAAGTCAGCAGTGAGAGATACCTGCCGACTCCTAAAACCAAACCCGTTGCCGTCAAGTCGATTCCAACCCATAGCGACCCTATAGCAACCCTCTAAGACAGACTAGAACTGCCCCATAGGATTTCCAAGGAGCAGCTGGTGGATTTGAACTGCCGACCTTTTGGTTAGCAAGCGTAGTGCTTAACTACTGCACCACCAGGGCTCTGCCGACTCCTTAGGGCATTACATTCACCCGGGTGCTTGGCACAAATGCAGGTTCCAAAGGACATTTGAAAGACCATTGGAGGAACTTGAGTCTGGACCAGGTCTCAGCTGATGTTTAGAAATTATCGTCAAGTTTGTTAGAGGTGATGGTGGCGTTGTGGTTGTATAAGAACATGCCCTTATTTATTTATCCTTTGAGATGCAAACTGAGTGAAGGTTTTCTGGGTGAAATGACATCATGGTGAGGGTTTGCTTTGCAATATTCTAGCAAAAACTTACGAAAGTAAACAAGAAGGCGGCAGGCAGGGAATGGGAGAGTAAGTGTGGCCAAAGATTGCCGAAGCTGGGGTTTGAGTGCCTGGGTGGTTTGCAGTACTCTCTTCTTCGTTTGGAAGTTCTCGTAAAAAGAAATCAGATCCCACTTATTTTCCTAGTGCTGCTGTAACAGAAATACCACACATGGGTGGCTTTAAAGAACAGAAAATTGATTTTCTCACAGTTCAGGAGGCTAGAAGTCCAATTTCAGGGCGCTGGCTCTAGGGGAAGGCTGTCTCTGTCCGCTCTGGGTGAAAATCCTTGTCTCAGCTTCTCTAGAGTTCTTCTTGGTGTTCCATCTATCTTTCCCCCTGTTTGCACTTATTTGCTTCTGTGCCTAGTCTGCTCTTTTATTTATCTCAAAGTGATTGGTTTAAGACATACCCTATACTGATCTGACTTCATAAAAATAACAAACAAACCCCTATTCCCAAATGGCATTGCATCTACAAGTGTAGGGGTTAGGATTTACAACACATAATTTTGGGGGGACACAGTTCAATCCATAACACTACTTATATGAATTCTCTAGAATAGGCAAATGCATAGAGACAGAAACATTAGAGGTTATTGAGTTGGGGAGAGAGACAACAGGGAGTTAATGCTTAAGGTGTACTGAGTTTCTGTTGTGGGTGATGAAAAAGTTTTGTAAATAGATAGTGGAGATGGTTGCATAACATTGTGAATGTAATTAATGTCACTGAATTGTATGAAAAAAATGGTTAAAATGGCAAATGTCATGTTCTACATGTCTTGTTGTCATGATTAGTTGCTGTCGAGTCGATTCAGACTCCTTGCGACCCCACATGTGCAGAGTAGAATGGGGCTCCACAGGGTTTTTAAGGCCGTGACGTTTCGGAAGCAGATCGCCAAGCCTTTCTTCCGAGGCGCCTCTGGGTGGATTTGAACACCAATCTTTGGACTAGTAATCAAGTGCTTAACCGTTTGCGCCACCCAGGGAACTTCTTATATATATTTTATCACAATAAAATTAAAGAACAAACTACACACGCACATACACAGTGCAGGCGCGGGGCCTCCGTCCCCAGAGCATCTGGGTCAGTAGGCTGGGGTTTAGTTCTGTAACTCTT